AGTGGTGGCTAGTTTAGAATTGGAACTGAGAATTTGATGAATTTCACGTTGCTTATGATTACAACTTCTGTTGTTCATCTTCGTAGTTGCACGTCTCGGATCTGATAACCTCTTTTAATTTATCAGGGACAAATCCAAATTGAAGAAGAGATCAATTTGATAGAATGAAATATAAATTGCCAAATTGGACAATATGTAACTACCATATTAGGTTTTAGAATAATAAGTAGATAAAAATAAAGTAATTGGCATAAATACAGAAAGCTATGACCAAATAACTTAATTGTCAAATTTGTATAATTAAATTCTTTTTCATTTTATATTTCTTACCACATATTTACATGCATGTATCTTTTTTTATATATATAAATATACATGCATGCATGTCAATTTTGTATATTATATTTCTATTTTTTTTTTTGGGTATATTTAGATGCATGTATATTATGTGTGCATGTTTTTAGTAAATATAGATTTCAACATATTTAATAGGATTCAATTTTTTAAAAAATCTTTATCAAGATTTTCAACCATCATTGCAAATTAGTGAGATGTCATTTTTAATAGTAACAAATTATTTCTTTGATTTAACACACTGACCAAAAAAAATACACACACTTAGTGTATCATATTCCGGATTCAAATCTAGAAGTGTGCACATGTGAATTGTAGATTACAAAACCACATATTTATATTGATCATACTATATACAAATTAGTTTGGACCTCTCAAGTCCCAATACTCTTTTGTCCACTTCTCAACCTTTCTCTCCGCACTTTGTTGTTTCTTATGTAACTTTTTGAGCTCATAATCTCCATATGGCTTTGGCAAATCACAAGCCGCCTTGACGCTCGGAGACATAACCAACGAGTCGTCCATGCACTGCCTGATCAGACCACCATCAGTGATCGGACAAGCCATTGTCTCCGAACACACTTCGGTAGCATTTTCAGGCACGGTCACATTCAACTTCATCAGTTTCCCATAGCCTTGCAACACATACAACATGTAATCATACACATACTTCATCTCTAGGTTCTTCATCATGTACTCGCTTCCCTGTCTCCCTATGACTTGTGCCTATATATATACATTAAGATCATTATAATATAATCCGGAGTCAAACATAAGATCTTGAAATTAGTATGCGTTTCTATTTAGATCTTGAACATTATTGCTTACCTTTTCGGTGTTGTTATTACCCCATTCAACTGCGAATTTGAGGTCACCACATTTGTTGTTTGGTCTAATAGGCCAGTAATGCTTCATTGGGACCATACTTCTTATGAAAAAGTCGTAGTACTCTGGTTTAACCAATAGAGTCATACTATCACACGAAAGTATATACTTTTCGCTTACCGACCACGCATTCCCTTCTATGTAGATTTTATACCTGAATTCAAAAATTCATATCCAAAAATGTTTATCAATAGACCAAACAAACAAAAATAAGAGACTATACATGATTTATTTGATTTATTTTGCATATATACCTATGAGTGCATTGATCTTCTAGGTTTGATCCTTTAAACCCCACCTGAATCTCACTTAACCAATCCTGAAACAATATGTGAGATCAAATCACAACGATTACAAATCATGAATTTGAGATTCTTAAATCAAAATGTGACAAATTGAACCTTATCTAGACAAAAAAGAAATCATTATTTGAGAATGAATATAAAGTCAATCATTTCAAGATTCATTTAGCCATTCAAACTTGTGTAGATAAAGAGATGTTGGAATTGATGGAGATATATATATACCTGAACATAGAGACGAACCATAGGATCATACTTGTCGGAGAAGTTACATCTCATAAGATCTCCTCTTATAGGAGAAACATGAGGGTTTCCTTTCCAATAAGCATAAGGAACTCTATCTTCCCATTTCACTCTTTTGTTCCCTTCTTTTAGTGCCACGGATAACTTATTCCACTCCTTTATATTCACCTCCGGCCTATCAAAAATTTAAATAAATCAATATTAATGTAATTTATATTGGTTATCCACCAAACTTGATGAATAGTCAACCATTAACCAAAAAAAAAGAAAGAAAAATCTTGATGAATAGTCAACCATAACCATAACCAAAAACAAGAAAAATCTTGATGAATAGTCTTACCAACCCCAAAAGCTCCAATCAGGGAAAACGATGTCGTATGCATCATGGTGACCACAGTAGTGAAACAATGGAGGAGGAGGCCACGTGTCTTTTCTGTTTTTCTTGAAGTCTCTTTTCCAAATGGCGGGTCGATCATGGCAGAGGAAGAGAAGCTCAAGATCAGGGATTTGACCAGGATACATTCTTAGAAGCTGAAGTATTCCCCAAATTGTGAACACATCTCTTGTTTGGAATGCTTTGTCGTATTGATGAACGTATAATCTCCCTGATTTTATGACAAGCCTGAAATGAGCGTTTGGTTTTGCTCTCTCTAGTGTTTCTCTTGTGATTCCTGTCTTTTGCCATACCTTTAAGTCTCGATGGATCCATCTGAAGTAGTCAGGACATGTCTCCGAGGAAGAGATCGCTGGTTCGAACTTGGTTGGATAATTTGAAGGACA